AATATACTTGTCTTTTGGGGTGGGGAAACATTTTCTTAGCTTTTCTTTTGAAAGAACTTGCAGAAGTATGCTAAAAAATAAGAAAAATGCATTACATTTTGCTAGATAGATAGATAGATAGATAGATAGATAGATAGATAGATAGATAGATAGATAGATAGATAGATAGATAGATAAGTGTGTGTACATAGAGCACATAGGTTGGTATATACACACACACAGTGCTCAACGGGGTATTCTATTTAGAGCTGCCGTGGCAGACGAGACAAAACTCCTGCCAGCGTTGGCCCTCCTCCACTCTAAGGTCCTGTGTCTGCGACGAGAGTTGAGCAATGAGAGGAGTGGATTGAGGGGGTGATCAGTGCTGTGAACATTATTTTTGTCAGAAGAAGAAGCGGAGAGTTCTCTAACAGATGCAAAAGCCTCTCGTCCAATTTCCTCAGGGCTAATGATAAAGGCCTCTATTTCTTTTTTTTTTGGGGGGGTTGTGTGTGTGTACAACAAAAACAAACGTTTCACCTGATCACATTTATCTTAAACCCTGTGATGATCTTTCATCTTTTATTCCTGTCGGTCTGTGCTCAGGCAGCTGGATTTATTGCACCTTTAAGGTATTTTCCAGTATAAAAACGTTAAAAATAAAAAAAGTGGTGTAATGAACAATCACTGAATTCCTGGTTAATATAATTTGTAATATTGTAGAATCTTTGTGTAGTTTATTGTTAATATTTGATCACACCACTGATGTATGTGTTTATATACAGTATTTAAAATTGTATTTAATATGTGTTGGATAGCAAAGAATGAATTAATGAATTGGTCAGCGTATGAGAGGAAAAACTGAAACGAAAAAAATTACCAATTTCTTTTTATTAATTATCTTTATTTCATGCATAAATCCCTTAACTCTCTTAAAACCTCTGTAGCCTCTATTACATATAAAACAATGCTTTATTTTACAGTGTAACATGTGACACTAGGCATTCATTATTTGAAAATTATTATAAAAGAATATACGTGTGTGTGTGTGTGTGTGTGTGTGTGTGTGTTGCTTTTAAAGGGTTTTAGGCTTGAAAATTGTAGAATTATTTCAAATATAATATTTTTATATACATTTATATTTTATATTTTAGGTGGAAATTGTGCATCTTCCTTGGATGTTGGTTGGAAGATTTTTAGTTTTTGCAGCAGTGTATGCAATGTTAAATCTAAATGGATCTTTGTTTTTTGTGTGTGTGTGTGTGTGTGTGTGTGTGTGTGTGTGTGTGTGTGTGTGTGTGTGTGTGTGTGTGTGCGGTCCTGAATTAGTATTTTTAACTGCATTAGCTCCTGTATGTGGATATATTTCGGTACCATGCAAAAGTACATTTGCATGTGTGTGTGTCTGTGTGTGTACATGGTGCTATATATACAGTATGTATATGTACACATTTACACATCTGTGTGTGTGTGTGTGTGTGTGTGCATCTGTGCCAGTGATTTCCAGTACTTTGTGTGTGTTTGTGTGTGTGTGTGTGTGTGTGTGTGTGTGTGTGTGTGTGTGTGTGTGTGTGTGTGTGTGTGTGTTGCGGTGTGTGTGTGTGTGTGTGTGTGTGTGTGTGTGTGTGTGTGGGTGTCTTTGTATATGTGCCAAACCGGTCCAGCTGGCATCAGTCGTAGCTGAAGCCGAGGCCGCTGTATCGGTCACACACACACACACTCAGACACACACACACATAGTCGACCACATTCCCATTCTGTACGCCTGTAATTATCAACCTCTTCTGCATCGACTACCATGTTGGCGTGTATTCAGCGCTGGTCTATACACGCCTGATTCAAACCCTTCACCGTGTACACGCTTCATTTTCCTCCACACACGCTCGCTATAAAACCCCTCCATTTCATCTCGTACGGCTGCACCGACCGCAGAATGTAATTACACACTAACCGTGGTTTGATATTTAGACTGGCTGAAGATTTAAGGTTTTATCCAAGAAGAAGGTCTGTGTGGTAAAAATAGGCTCGAAGTGGTCCCGCGGCTCGGAGGAGAGGAAAGCCTGTTCAGAAGCTGGAGAGGAAATTAGCTTTGTTGTCTACACGCCGCAGCGGTTGGTGCATTTTTCGAAAATTCATCAGACACCTTTTTCACAGCCAGACACGCTCGGTTTGTGTATTAAAATGATGGCGGGTTACCTGCCAAAGAGGCTTCACCTTCCTGTCATGTACTGATCAATCCTTGGCCCGCATTTTAAGAGCTCTGATGTCTGATTTCAATCAAACACACGTTTAAACATGTTTGACCAAAGATGTTCTATAAAGACAGCAGGTGAAGATGTCTGTGCTCCATAAATGTAGAGTGATGTAGGGTAAGACTCAAGAGACCTGCACAATTACAAAGTAGAGACAGACAACCTGATACAAAACTATAGTTTATATACGTAAAGTCAGAGAAAAACTGTACGAGAGTGCACAGAGCATCTGTTGTTCCTGTACAGAACCGGCTCCTGTCAAGGGGAAAAGTGGTGGCTTGAAATTGTCTGCTTACAAAATGCACTCTTTAGGGGGTCTGAGCAGAGAGTTTAACTTTCCACAGAAGTCACTCAATCAAATATTTGGACACATTCCATATGGAGTTGACTCCATATGGAAATACTCTGAAATTCACCACAAATGCTGCAGGTAAAACTCCAACAAGTTTAATTTAGCCTCATGGTATTGCTAGATGGTTGCAACCACAATGGTGTTGTAAGACACCTTTCTAAGCATTAATATGTGATGCTATGGTGTTACCATGCAGTTTAAGGTTGATACACAACGCGAGACAGTATTTATTTGTCAGCCGTCACAGATTTTGCAGCATTGTGTGCTACCTGCTATTGTCCGGCCTTTAGGTGGTTCATGTTGGTTGCTGAAGGGTTGCTAGGCCGTTTAGTTGCTACAAAGTTGAATCAGTTGCTAGGGCATTGGTTGCTACTTGCTAGGCTGTGCCACACAGTTGCTATGACGATATTAGGTGGTGGCTTTCTGCTTTCTAGATCATGACTAAAATCATTCAGTATGTATTATATAGTGCACTAAATTTGCTGTTTTATCCGCTGTTTAATTTTATTGTCCCAAAATATACTATACGCCAGTCCATATGTATTTTTTAAATGTTGTCTAACTCCCCTTAAAGCCAAGATTGCAAACCCACATGACGCTTTGGCCGGGACCCCTAGGTCTGGAACCAGTGCTATTAATACTATATAAAGTAGTATATGGACTTCCTGTAATGAAATAGAAAAACATTTGTGTCCATCAGATCAGGTTTATTGCAACGTACCTTTTTACATACAAGGAATTTACCTTGGTAGTTTGGTGTTCAACAATTAACATTGTACGAGAAGATAAAGAGGATAAAATGCAAGTACTGTGAAGTCAAGAAACATCAATGCAAAAAGGGAAAAATGTACAAGAAAAAATATTTTATTATTTCAAAATATGTCTATTATGTATTAGTTTTTAAAGCTGAAGGTGCAAAATATTGTCCAAGGAATGTGCAATAGTTTACAGTATGAAGTGCAAAGAATATTTTCAATGTGCAAAGATAATAATCCAGAAGGTGTGTGTTAGTTTGATGCACTGAGACAGATGAGGAGACATTAACGTTACATGTTGTGTCTGTGTGTGTGTGTGGGGGGGGGGGCGTAAAAGTCTGTGAGGCCAGCTTGTGTCAATGGCATGCACATTACTTTTTGCGCAGTATCCCACAATGCAATGCATCCCATGTGATAGACGGGGAAATGGCAGTACAAGCAGTGATGCAAAATGATGATCATTGCAGACTAACTAAAACATCTAGGTAGTTCTTCAGTAGTGTTGGATGCCTGGAAAGTACACTAATGAGTCTCCATGGACCAACAGTTGTCCAATGGGAGAAAGAGCAGAACTATACCATAAATGGCAAACCTTTAGAAGGGTAGCACAGACATGACAGAGGTATCTTAATGTGAATCTTCTCTTAAGTTCTGCCTTAACACATTTCATTACTAAAAAGTTTCATTACGTCAACAGAGATCTGAGACATATCAAATGTCTTGGTTTCTAGATTGTAAATGCGACCTGTAAACCGTATGCCTTGTCTCATATTCAGTTTGTTTTGTCTGTAGAGAGGAAACTAAATCTACACCTAAAAGAAAGTGGAGAGTGAACATGTTTCTCTTTTCAAAGCCGGCTCCTGTAGCATAAATCCTTTTTTTCTCTGTATGTGGATGTATGCATTGCAGGCGCAGCAGATGTCCGTTTTGTTGTGCTGTGAGATCAGCGAGCAGATACAGAACACACACTGTGAAGACTGATCATGGAAAATGGCTTCGGCTGTTTTCTACTGAAACTCTTTTACTCACACTTTTACTTCCTAAACAAAGTGTCAATGAATGAATGAATGAATGAGCTTTTAAATGAATGAAAAGATTGACTTATACTTTGGATGTTCAGAGAAAATGTATTCCTAGTGGGTAAACAAATCCGTCCAAATTTATACTTTAACATCAAATATTGTATGTATGTAATTTTAGTAGGAGTGTCCACAATAAGTGAGTGACTCAGTGAATGAATGAAATCAATAACTGATCATCGTGTTTATTTTAAATAGCCCTATTTTTCATTAACAGTGGACTAGATTGAACTTTTAGTAGTCGTTGTGCTCAAATGAAAAATAAAATGATGGATGGATGGATTGACAAATAATTGAATTGAATTTAATTCATTAATACTCATGCTTCTGAATTGAGTGAACGAAGGAATTAATTCTTAGTTATATTGTCGTGTAGTTCGTTGACCCTGCTTTATGAAGGAATGAATAAATATTCTAACCTGTCTAAATAGTTATGGTGTGCTAACCCTAACTCTGTAATTCCATAGCTTTACAGACTGAGTTGTGAATGAATGGATGAATTCTGGTATGATATGGATTTGTCCTTGTTGAGATGACTGCCTCTGCTAACTGCCCCCTCTCTTCTCCTTTCGTCCTCTTGCAGGTAAAACAGAGAGGAGTTCGTACTCATACGGCAGAGAGTCCAACCCACACTGCCACCAGGTCAGTCCCAATGTGCATGTCTTCTTTTATAAAAGCAGAGTGAGCATGTCACTTACCTTGTGTCCGAGCAGTAAACGCACTGAGGGAGACAGAGGTGTGAACGGTTGTGTAGAAGCAGGACAGTAGGAAATCATTATGCAGATACGAAGCATATTATAGAGTAGTTTTTAGCTAATTGCTCACCTTATTCTTTTTGCAGCATGTAGCTTGAGAGTGGAACAGAGTGAAGCACTTCTGTTGATATAAATGTTTTACACACATAGGCCTGAAATACAGTCACACACAGGGCTTATAAACATGCACATGTGGAGTTCCCCGAGAGCAGGTAGGGGCACAGCCTTGATCAAGGCAGTGCCCAGGAGGTGGAACTGGAACCTCTCCAGCTACCAGTCCATGGTGGACTTGAACCGGTGACCATCCGGTTCCCAAGCCAACTCTCCACAGACTGAGCTACTGGCATCTAAAGGATGAGGATGAACACATGTGAAAGGGAAGTTTCTGTAATGTGAATTATTTCCCAGTGAAATGGAACAAGTGGGCTTGGTTAGTTACGAAGGGGATTTGGATCAAATCCTTACATTTGATTGGATACTTGACAAGTGGCCGTGGCCTTGAGAATATAGTCAGATGGCAACCTGGTCTCACAAATGTCAAATACTGCTGTCTGACTAGTGGTCCTACACTTCCAAATGTGACACACGTCAAAGTCAGGTGATGTAGTGCAGTGGTTCCCAACTGGGAAGGGGTCGCAAAGGCTTCACAGGGTGTCATGATGCTTTCTTGATTTTTAAGAGGTTAAAATGTACTCAGTAAGGTCTTTGTCTCAGCCTTCCATTTGTTTCTGTAAAGAAAACAAAATGATATTGTTATTTTTTAAGTTTGATTACTACCTTAAAACTTCCAATAAAAGCAGGGTCCCAATTAGATGCCTTAGACGTCTCCCTTACAAGCCTGGTGTGGCTACATGTTTTGACAAATGAACGCAGGTCTCCAAAAGAGGCCTGGTTTGGATTTTATAGAAATTATCTCGATCCTCTTAAAACCCACCGGGTCGCCGGGCTGAGCAGGTTTTAAGCGGTTTAGATCACCTACACAAATATAAATGTTGTTTTAAAATGCCATGTAAATGTGTCACATAGTCAGAAGTTGTCAATTTACTAAATGATAGAAAAGGGGTCCCTTAAAGAGAAAGGTTGGTAACCACTGACGTAGTATAAGGAGCAAGAGAGTCCATCTATGGAAGAGGAAGAGTGGATGGATGGCTCAAACAAACACAGGACTTTAACCCAGCAGACGCTGTTTGTGTCCGTGTGAAACCAAGAGTAAACAGTTTCTTTTAAGTAACGTTTGTAGGTTATGTCAGATACGTAACGCAACTCACAACCTTTTCCTAAAGCTAACAAAAACGTTAACCACGCAAGCTTAATTTTGAAATTCTATCCAAAAGTTGCTTATTTATTCTAAATGACACTAGAGGAATTCCTACAGTGTCATATTTTGATGCGCAGGGCCTCTGACCCAGTGGCAGCATTTGACGACATGGGAGTGAGAACGTGTTGGATACGGAGCTCTAGTGAGTTTTGGAGTTGTTGATGACTGTTGGTCTCCAGGTACACTCATCTGAACTGATCAGTAGGAGAAGGATGTGAGAGAAATATATGACTTACAACACGCTCTTTTGGAAATAAAAGGTTTTCCAAACGGACCTCCGAACACACACCTTCCATTGATCTGCTAGCTAGTACAAAATACAAGCCAGTGGTCAAGTGTGGTTTTTATTGGCTGGATGGGGAGCTGCCTCAAATCCCATTTAATTGGTTTAAATGCATGTATACTTGATCATCAAAAATATATTAGAAAATAAATAAATGATATAATATATATGTTTATACAGGAAGAGAGATGGAAGGGATTTTGCTATTAAAATAATTCGTTTTTTACATATTTCCCACATAAGCAGAGACAGCTGTAAAGTGGTCTTTGACTTGGTTGCAGATATTGTTGTCACAACTTTTACGGTGTCTTTATATCATGCAGGGAGCAGCAACAACAGAGGATGTGGTTGTTTTATTATCGAGCATCATCAGTTATTTGAAGTTCAAAAACTATAGAGCGCTCTCCGTTTCTTATCTGTCAGTCATCCTCACGACAACTAAAAACAACAGCTGTTGCATATTTTTTGTATTTTTATGTTTTCCAGAGAGATGTCTACCATCACCACATATTCCCAACTTCATAAACAAAGAATTATTCACTTTAACTTTAAATATTATTCTTTTAAAAGCAACATTTGTTCGTTGGCGGTGCCGCCAGGTGTTGCTTGGTTTTGAATCTGCACTGTAATCTTCCCGCTCAGTTCTCATGGACCATATGCATCCATGAGAAGATACACATTGATAATTAAGAAAATATACAGATGTTGGTGTTTGATTCTGCTGCTGGAATATTACACAGAGAGAGGATTGATGTGCTGGCTGTAATTTGATGACCACCTTCAGGTTTTTGAAATTAAATGATCACATATGCTTCGTTTGAGCGCAGGCTGTTGGACATGTTGACTGAATCTGATGTTATGGATTTATTTTTCTTTTAGTCTTGAACATCTATTAATTAAAGCTTATCAAAGAAGTGCATTTCCGTGTTTATAAAAATCAAAGTTGTGTTAAAAGATGTTACAGATTATGATGAATATATGTAGGCTGTTACATTTACTTTTGGAAAACAAGATGTTTGGGTTTCAGTTCAGGGGAGTTATCATGTTATTCACCTGCTCAATAATTCAGATGTACAGACATTTCTGTACAATACACCTTTCAGTTGCAGCAAAACTTTGACAATGTCATTTGGTTTTAGTCAAATCACAACACCAGACACCACAGTCCCTTTTCTACATCAGTGACTTTACTGTTTGATTCCCAATCTCTATTGGGACACTATAGCCTGATAATAAATGATCTGATCTTGTCTTTGCATTTACCTCTGGTATTTTTAATGCATTCTCCTTATTCTCATTGAGATCGAATCTCTCCCCATTAATGCAAGAACCTGTGCGTGAGTAAATTGAGTTGGTGGCAAATCAGCACCACACTCCATTAAAAAAAAAAATTGTGAGTTGTTGAGTTAAGGGAAACATTCTAAACTTTGTGAAAGGCTGTCTACGATGAATGTAGTACTTATTAAGTTATTATTTTCTTTGTATAAAAAGTGTCGTATCAGTTTGTCCTGGTGTGTTGCAGTACAGCTGCACAGGTGATTGCAACACAGACCATCGCACACACAGTTATTTCTGACTGTATGTCAGTCATTTCCGGATTGCAGTTACACTTTTGTTCCATGTGGTCACAGTGTGTCCCTGACCACCTCTGAAGGTGGTCAAGATCACAGTCCGTCCTCAGTGTGTCTTAGATGCATTTACACCTGTACTTTCATGTGGTCTAGCACTATCTGAATGTCTCTGTCTCTTATTTAATGCTAGAAACTAACTTTAAGTTTGTTGAGAAAATTAGGATATTTATATTTTAAACTGCTAGATTTTACGTTCAAATACTTTACATAATCCATTTTTTTCTTTTCCTTGTTCTAACAAGAAGCTTTGTGTTTTGGAGATGAACGTGAGTGATGAGGGACACAGAGGTTCTGTCTAATAACAGGAGAAGTGGCTGCCAACAGGGGCGATCAAACCAAACAAAATGATTGACGGCGGGCCAAACCTGGTTGCCCAGGGCAACTGGGCAACCGTTACTGTCGAGCCTTGTGGATGAAGAGAAGACAGAAAGTAGAGTGAAGGAAACTAAAGGGAAGCAAAAGAGTCCAGTGTGGCATTTGAAGGACTCGTAGTAGTTTTCAGACTTTAGGGGTAAAAAGACCTTCCTGCCTTTTGGTTTTGATCTCTTCCTTTCTGTTACGAGGACAGGATTTGGCCCTGACAACCTTGTGAACAAAGACGTGCACACACACAAAGAGAGAGAACATGCCGGTCATATCTGCCTCTTGCCAAGTGTGTCAGTTGTACTGGAATAGTTGTCATACAGACGTCTTTCCACTGGTGGATTTAAATATAGCTGCTGGTCACGTTTGAATCTGTTTAAATATTCCTCTGAGGCTCACTTCTTCATGTGTTTTATTCACTCATTCAGTCAGTTCTTTTGTTGAGACCATTTATTGCTCTGTGCATTCATCCATTCATTCATTAATTTATTAATGCATTCACTCCAGCTTAAAATGAATTGGTCTGTATTCATTCATTCATTCATTTAACATTTTGGTTGTTCAGTCATTTCCTAACTCATCTCATCAATTTCCATATACATTCATTTTTAATATATTTAACTTTATATTTATTTAATTTATTAATTTGACTGCGCATCTATTCCCTGGATCCTTCATTTGTTTATTCATTCATTCATTAAGTAGTCAATTTGCTTAATTGTTATTGTTGTAATCATCCATCCATTTAATATTTCTTTGATTAGGTGGTTCATTCATTCATTCACTCTTATATTCATTAGATAGGTGGTCAATTTATTTATTAATGTATTGTGTTCATCCATTCATCATTCATGTATTCATTGAGCTATACATATATCCTTTAGGTAGTTTGTAAATATATTACTTTACAGTGTTCAGTGATCCATCCATTGGTCCATCATCATAATTCATTAATTTCTTAATTCATTCATTTATCCACGTATCCAGGTGGTTTGTTAATTTTTACATTTATAAAGTTCAGCCTACCGTCTATCCATTCCTCCACCTGAACACTCATTTTCACATTCATTAATTTGTTCTTTCATCACTTTATATGTTGCCTTCATCCATTTGTCTTACGGATGCCTTCACTCATTTGTTTACTATTCAACCATTTACAATATTAATTTGTATATCTAGCAGTCCATTTGTTGACTTGATCGCTCTCTCATCCATCCATCCATCCGTCCATCCATCCTTCCATTTATCACCAACTAGCTGATCTTTTATTTATAACCACCTCTCATATCCAG